CACACACACACACACACACACACACACACACAATGACACTGCATGGGGGGATCCCATTCGTTTCTAGTACATGTAGAGTTTTAGAAAAAACATTGCAGTATCATCTAGACATGCAATCTTGAACTTGCAGTTTGAAGTCCTAAATTCTAGCAAAGATGGTACAGCATATTGTATTATATAACCCAACTCTTTATTCCTATACAGGCTGTTATAAATCAGGGTATATGTTAGTGGAACAATAGATACATGAGTCTTGGGAGAGAGGGTTATTCAAGCAATCTGTGGGTGATCATGTGCACCTCCTGTACCACACACAGAAAGAAACATTCTGGGTGGAATTTGCTTTAATTCCTGTTACAAGAAGGATGGGGTACCCTCATCCTGATGTATTCCTTCTGTAAAATAAAAATCCAGGTCACTGCCAGCACCAACCCTACTCCCTCCTAAAAAGTGAACTGAATCAGCTTGCTCTGCTAAGTAGTTCTGTTTTACTGTAGCATATTAGTGGCATCAGGGATAAATAAAATGCTTCCCTAGATGAGATCAATGTGAATTTCTGGAAAGACCTGGTTTTGTAGCAATTTGCAGTATTCAGAGCATTGTCACTTTTGGAGAGGATCTGGTCTGTTGTGCAGAAAAAGGCATTTATCTATTGGACTTGTTTCTATGTAAAATCACAAGTAATGTTGCTAATTTAGGCCCTACGATAATAGAAATTGTCCAAGCCAAGGAATATTGAGGGAGAGTTGGAAGGCAAAAGAGTGGCTGTGAAATAAAAAAGCACCAAGAACTGCCTCTGAAAAATGCATTGCTTCATTACCCCCAGGATATGCCCAAATTACTCCCAGTTTAACAACCACTGAGTGTGTGGGCAAAGTTACCCAGTGAATTACATGGATGAACCTGGACTTGAACCCCGGTCTCCCTCGTCCTAATTTCTCACTGTAACCACTTTGCCATATTGGCTGAAGTGATTTTCCAGCTCATGTGGTTCATTGGTAAATTGCATCTTTTCTTAGGTTTTCATCTTCTTTTTCCTACCTTCTCTCTCATTAGAGTTTATTTTTCTTAAAGAGGCCAGGTGCTAGGTGATGTAATGGTATGTCGGAATGACCTTGGGAGACAGGAGGAAGAATTGCAGACTAGGCAATGGTCAGAGAAGAGATGGTTGAGTCCACAGAAGGAATGGGGGCATGGCAAATGTTTCAGAAGGGCCCCTTCCTAGTTTCTTGGACTGTAAAGGTGAGGGGGGGTGGGGGGAGAGATGTCTTTTCAGACTTGCAAGAGTCTGTTAATGTAACCTTACAATAAAGATAGATAGCTAGTCCTCCTGGGTGTGCTTCTTGTCTGGACTACCTTGCAAGGCTGCCAGGTATCTCCTTGGAGCAGCCTGGATCCAAGGAGATAGATCATGGATGGTCTGCTCTTTCTCTGATCTATAGGGTTTTCTGCCAACAAAAGGAAGACCATACTTTTTGCAAAACTGCCAGAAATATGTATATTCCTCACAATTACTTCTGGAGTTGTGGTTTGTGCTGAATACATTACACTGCCATCCTGGCCAGACAGCTGGAAGTTCATGCCAAACAGTATTAACTGAAAAGTTTGCCAAGACCTGAAGGAGTCTGTGATAAAGAACATAACAAAGGCACCAATATATAGTTCCCAGAAGTTCATGACAAGAGTTTTGTTATGAGATTTGCTCTTCTTTGGCTCCTTTTTTCCACCCAGCAGATAAATGTTAAGATTAAATTGTGGGTGTGCGTCAATTTTGGACAATGTCCAGATTCTGAGCCAAATTGGAATATCTCAAAACCAAGACTGGGTGTTCTTGAAAGTGAATCTTTCCTAAAGTGAAACAGCTGGTCCCAAAGCCTCAGAATTACTTTGGAGCTCAGTAGGATATCTAGACTACTAGATATACTTTTAACTAGACTAAGCAACATTTAAATCAATGATTGACTTGAAACAGTATATACTATATGCATCAGGACCACTAAGGTATATTGCCTATAATTTAGTCCAATTTCCATAAATGCCACTCTTTTTTCAGCTGGCTCTTCCTGGCTTTAAAATGGAGAGCAAAGCAGATATTATCCCTAGGACTGCTAATTGCCAATTCCTAAACTGAACTAGGATCTAATCATAGGGAATGTGATAAAAAAGCTCATATTGGTAGATTTTGCTTACGGAATGCCTCGTTTAGTGACTGTTCAAAGTTACAACGATGTAAAAAAAAAGTTTTGTGACCAATCCTCACATTTACAACCACTGCAGCATTCCCACGGTCATGTCATCACCATTCAGGCACTTCACAACCAGTGCACATTTATGACTGTCACAGCATTCAACAGTCATGTGATTGCCATTTGTGTACTTTGCAACTGGCTTGGGACAAGCAGCGTTAATGGAGAACACAGAAGTAAAATTGTAAATCGCAGCCACCTGATGTATTGTTTAACAACCATGGTGATTCATTTAACAACAAGTGGAAGTGAGGTTGCAAGTCCATTGCGGTCATGTGGTTTTCCACTTAGCGACCACAGTGCTTAGCAGTGGAGTTGCCAGTCCCAACTGTGGTCACTACCTGTAAATTGTAAATTTGCCTGAAAAAGCCCCTTGAATGAATTGAATGTCCATTAACTTGCCTTCCAGAAGCTGAAAATAATGCTGTTCACCAAAAACAGTGTGGAATGAGGCTGTGCCCTGAAGTAAGAAGATACATTATTTTATGTATATACTTATTTCAGAATTGGTTGTAACACTTACATCTTGGGTTAGCCAATAATTATGTTATGAGTACAGGGAGTCCCTAGGTTAAGAATGTCAGGTTTACAGATGACCCATAGTTAAGAACAGGGCCTATTGTAGCAAAATTCAAGTTAAATACACAATGGACCAAGTTCATTACTCATACAGTATTATACAATAACACTGTTCCGGCTTACATACGAATTTGACTTAAGAACAGACCTTGGGAATGGAACTCGTTCTTAATCTGAGGACTACCTGTACTCATTGCTGTTGGTTCTGTCATTAGGGAGTAAATATGATCCATCTGTTAATCAAGGGGCTTTTGCCATTAGTGCTCTAATATGACCAAAAAGGGCTTTTGTACTGGAGGAAATGTAGCTGCTATTTCCCCCTAAATGACACTTGCGCCTTCCATCATTTTGGCCCCCTTGAATCTTTTTAGTAAATTCAGCATTTAATTCCTTCCTTGGCAATACTTTGCATGAGATAATGTGGTACTATAACACAATGAGTAGCTTTGATTTTCTTGTTGGAACATTTTCTTTGGTAAAAAAAAGTGAATTCATTATTGACATTATGCTTTAAATGGTCTTTTGCTTGGAAGAAAATTATGGAGAGCTAATTTCAGGGAGCACTTGGGATTAAACTGGGAAATGTAGAATTATTATGCAACCTCTCCTGCTGGCTGCCCTTCTACTATGATTTTTGGCCAGAGACCCCACTTTCAAAATGCAGAAGTCAGAACTATACATACTGATCTGATTCCAAGTGTTCCTAGTAATGCAGACAGACACAAAAGTATGCAGTACAATTCACCTTTATTAAAGCCATTCACTTAATAGCTAAAATTTAGACTATGTTTTAATGGCCTAAGAAAGAGCATACTTCCCTTTTTCATTTTTTAATAGCAATTTTATTAAAAATTACAATTACAACAATAAAAACTAATACAAACTTTAAAAAATAAAAATGAAAAAATGAAAAGTACAGAAAAGTAAAAAGAGAAAAAATAGAAAAAAGAATAGAAAAGAAAAAATAAGAATATAGTAAAGAAAAAGAAAAGATAAAGAAATGACTTCCCCTTCATCACAAGTATAAACAATTTTAGTAACTTATCACCTTCTCTTAAAATACAACAAATGATTTCTTCTTTCCATATAAATGAAAAGTACAGAAAAGTAAAAAGAGAAAAAATAGAAAAAAGAATAGAAAAGAAAAAATAAGAATATAGTAAAGAAAAAGAAAAGATAAAGAAATGACTTCCCCTTCATCA